ACGGAACCAAAAAGAGCTTCGTGGTGTTCGTTTTGAGGGGCGCTCAAAACGAACAGAGCGCGGCCTCTCGCGGGGTCTTCCTAGGCCTCTCTCGGGGCTGTCTTCGAAGTTCCTGAGATCTTCTTGGGCTCCTTTCGGGGGCTCCTCGCGGTTTCAAGGCCGTCTCGGAAGGGGCCTCGAGGGCGCCAGGACGGAACAAAACAGAGCTTCCAGGTGTTCGTTTTGAGGGGCGCTCAAGACGAACAGTGCCCAGCCCGTGGTGGGGCATTCCCAGGCCTCTCTCGGGCTCCCGTCGAAGCGTCTGAGATTTTCTTGGGCTCCTTTGGGAAGGTCCTCCCGGCGGAGGGCCGGAAGAGGGCCCCGAGGCGCCAGAAGGGCCAGACAGGGGGCCCGAGGCAACCGAAAAGAACGCGAGGGCGCGGGAAGAAGCACGCACTGGGAGCTGGCAGGGAACCTCGTCAGCAGGAACTTGAAAGTAGCTTGTTTTCCTGAGGAAATGCCTAATTTTTCCCCTCCTCAGACGCTCCTGCAGGCGCGTGTTCGAATGTCTTGGGCCATCGTGGGCGCGAGGGGGAGGCTGCTGAGCTTCCAGGGCGCCTCCGGGGAGGCATCTCGGAGCGTCTCGGAGCGGCCTGGGGCAGCCTCGGAGCCGCGCTGGAGTCGACCAGAGCTTGCTGGGGCGCCCGGGGAGGGCTCCAGAGGGGCCGGCCCGCGGCCACTGCTTAAACATTTTGGCGAGCGGTGAACGCTGCATTGTAGTAGAGACTAGGGCTGACCCGTGGACTCCGTCCACGACATCTTGCCGAAATGGTTCTAGGGGGAGCGGCGGATACGCTTCCGAAAGGTTATCCACATGGCGGCGCGCCGCCGGCGCCTGGCCGTTGGTTGGGGCCCAGACTCCGTCGAACTGGCGGGTTGTCCCGCGGGCCTGCACAGCCTGTCGCGGCCGAGGAAGGGGGGCAGAGCTGTCAAAATCGGTCCCTGGGCCCTCCCCCACCGTCGAAGCGCATCAGCGCTATCTGCTGCGTCCAGCCGTGGCGGCGAGGAGCCCTCCTGAAGGCGAACTGTCTGTGTGTGAACTCGGCCTCCGCCGACTTCGTCTGGCCCGAGCCTGGGCAGAGGCTGGCATCCTCTCTGCGTCCGCCCCTTCGGGGCTGGAGGCGCTCTCCTGGCCGCCTCCGGGGCCGTCCTGGCCGCCTGTGGGGCCGTCATGGGTGGGGCTCGTCTTGGGTTTTTTTGGGGGGGCCTCTGCGGCAGTCTTGGAGCCGTCTTGGGAACGCCTTGGGCGACGGTGGATCGTGCGGAAGCCGACAAGGCGAGCACGGCAAAAGCCATGCAAAAAGCAATGAACAAACGCTTCTGGGGAGGTCTCATGGAGCACCTTGGAGATCTGTCGGGCCTGCTTGGGCCAATGTTGGGCCAATCTCGAGCGTCTGTGGCACATCTGGGGGCCTGCTGAGCCGACTTGGGGCCCTCTGGGCCTGTCTTGGGGCTCTCTTTGGGTCCCTTTTCGGCCGTCTGGGAGCCGTCTTGGGAACGTCTTGGACGTTCGTGGATCGACTGGAAGCGGAGAAGGCGAGCACCAGAAAAACCCAGCCAGAAGGAATGCAAATCAATGTTTTGTCCTGCTCGGGGCCCTCTGGGGAAGCTTCCTGAGAGGCCTCTCGGAGCACCCTCGAGACCTCTCGGGCCGGCTCGGGCCAATCTTGGGCCAATCTTGAGCGTCTGGGGCCCCATCTGGGAACTTGTTGAGCCGACTTGGAGGCCCTCTGGGCCCGTCTTTCGAGTAGGGGATCGACCACAGAATTGATTTACCCCCGAATTGATTTTCTCGTCGAATCCATTGGAAATGCGTAGAACGTTCGCAAATATATACAAACATCCTGCGTATGACTCGACGAGAAAATCAATTTTGGGGTAAATCAATTCTGTAGACGATCACGTACTCCAGTCTTGGGGCTCTCTTGGGGGCCTCCTCGGCCGTCTTGGAGCCGTCTTGGGCACGTCTTGGGGTGTCGTGGATCGTGGGGCAGCCGACAAGGCGAGCACGGCAGAAACCCTGAGAAAACAAAGCGAGGACACTCAATGTTTTTTTTTGTTCTCTGCTCGGGGACCTCTGGGGAAGCTTCCCAGGAGGTCTCGCGGAGCACCTTGGAGACTCGTCGGGCCGGCTTGGGCCTCTTGGGGCTCTCCTGGCGTGCCTTCGAGCCTCTCTGGGCGGCCCGGGGCGGCCTGGGGCCAGCCTCAATGGGGGCCTGTTGAGCCGACTTGAAAGCCCTCTGGGCCCGTCTTGGGGCTCTCTTGGGGGCCTCTTCGGCCGTCTTGGAGGCGTCTCGGGAACGTCTTAGGCCGACGTGGATCGTGTGAAAGCCGAAAAGGCGAGCACGGCAAAAACCCTGAAACAAAGTAAGGAACGTCAATGTGTTTCCTGCTCGGGGCCCTCTGGGGAAGCTTCACGGCAAAAACGCTGCAGAAAAAAACAATGAAACTCAATGTGTTTCCCTGCTCGGGGCCCTCTGGAGAAGCTTCCCGGGAGGTTTCACGGAGCACCTTCGAGACCTGTCGGCCCCCTCTTGGGCCTGGCTTGGGGTCTTCTGGGGCCGTCATGGCGCCTCTTGGGCCATCTTGGGGCTCCCTGGGCCGTCTGGGAACGCGCTTGGAGGCCTGTTGGGCCGTCCTGGGGCGGTCTTGTGGGTCTCTTCGGCCGTCTTGGAGCGTCGGCTAGCCGGGGAGGCGAGAAGGCAAAACGCCTTCAAATCCATGGAAACATTGAGGAGCTTGGCCTCTGGGGGCATGCTTCGGAGGACTGTTGGGGACTCTTGGAGGCCTCTTGGGCCTTGTTTGGGGCCTCTATAGGGGGCCTCGTGGACGCTCCTTGGAGCCTCTTATTGCCACTTCGGCGCGTCTTTGGGCGGAGGGCTCGATTTGTGACGCTCGGGGGCCAGGATATTCGTGAGGGGTGTCGAAAAATTGCCCTCCAGGGGGCGCATTGGTCCACATGCGCTGTTTTGCCCTTCTGGCACGCACTGGTGTCCGCCATAGAGAAGAGACTAGGGCTGACCCGCAGCCTTGTGGCCGCGGAATCTGCCCGCCATGGCGTGGACGTGGGAGTGGAGCGTCTCCGGGACCTCGCAGGCGAGGGGAGGTTGGAGGGGACGGCGTGGATGGAGGAGGTGGCCGCTGGAGGGGGAGGTGGGCGAGGGATGCAGGCAAGCAGGCCTGAAGGCAGGAACGCGATGGTAGAGGCGGTGTCAGTGGAAGCACACCCATGCAGGCATGACATGGTGTGGACAGAAGCTGTTTCTCACGCCACACTATGTGTTCATCATTGCTTCTGCGGAGAGGGTAGCCGTGATAATTGTATCTGCTCCTCGCCGGGGCCGAATGGTAATTTCATCTGGTAGTGTGGTGACAGTAGGGCCAGTGGGCGCGGCCTAGGAGGCGCGCAAGAGGGCGGCGAGACGGCCCCAAAGGTCTCCAGGACGGGCTTCTTAAACGGCCCCAGAGGCAATGCGAGGACACGAATGGCCTTTCGAGCGCACCGCCCCAAGACGTCCCCCAAAGGCGCAGAGATGGCTCCCAGAGGTCCAAGAAGCCCCTCAGGCGACGCTGAAGTTCGACGCTCCCCAAGAGAGAAGGATCCAAGGCCTCTTGGGTGCCGTTTAGGGGCCCATTTCGTCCTCCTGGGGGTCTCTCGGGTTCCTTTTGGCCGTCTTGAGTGCCTCTTGGACTGTCTTGGGGCGATGTGGGGCCAGGCCGTCTTGGGGCCATCTTGGGCCGATCTTGGGCGCTCTTGGGGCTGTCTTGGATGTTTCTTGGGCTGTCTCGGGCGTTTCTGGAGCCGTCCCAGGGCCGTCTCGGGCCGTTCTGGGTGGGGCGATCTGGGGGCCTGTACAGTCGTCTGGGAGACTGTGCAGATGGAAAGGCTTGGAGACGGGGCGGTGGGGGCCACAACCGTCTTGGAGACGGGGCGCTGGGGCCGTCTAGGGCTATTATGAACTGCTCTCTGGCCGGTCTGGGTGCGTCTTGGGCCCTCTGTCGCCTGAGTAGACGTCTTGGGCGCTGCGAGGACGAAAAAGCAAGATTTAGTGAACATGTGCGCTTCCCGTCGGGAATGGGACGAGTTTGGCCTCTTGGGGCTCTCACGTAGGCCCTCCTACGCCATCTTGGAAGCCTCCTGGCCATGGGGGCATCTGAGGCTCTCCTGGGGCTCCCAGGGGTGCTCTGAGGCTGTCTTGGGTGCGTCTTGGGCCGTTTCGGGTGCCTCTGGAGCCGTTCCGGGGCCGTGTGGGGCCGTTTGGGGGCCCTCCTGGGGGCCTCTGGGCGCGTCTTGGGACGAGCTGGGGGGCCTGTATAGAATGTCTGATGAAATGTGCGTAGGGAATGAAACGATTTTGGCCTCTTGGGGCTCTCCTGGAGGCCCTCCTGGGCCATCTTGGGAGCCTCCTGGCCTGCCTTGGGAGTCTCTGGGGCTGTCTTGGGGCTCCCAAGGGTGCTCTGAGGCCGTCTTGGCGCCCCCTGGAGCCTCTCGGAGCCGTCCCGTGGGCTATTATAAACTGCTCTTGGGGCTGTCTTGGGTGCGTCTTGGGCCGTCTGGGGCGCCTCTGGAGCCGTCCCGGGGCCGCCTCGGGCGGTTTGGGGGCCCTCTGAGGGTGCTCTGGCGGCGTCTTGGGGCGAGCTGGGGGCCATAGTCGTCCTGGATACAGGTTTTCCGAAGGGAATGGGCCAACTTTTGCCTCATGGGGGTCCTCCTGGGCCGCCTTGGGAGCCTCCTGGCCTGCCTTGGAGGCCTCTGGGGCCGACCTGGGGCTCGGTTAGGTCCCTCTTGGTCTGTCCGGGCGCCCTCGTGGGCGTTTCTGAGCCGTCTCGGAGCGGCCCGGGGACTCGCAGGGCGGCCTTGAGAGCCGGGCCAACCTTTCAAGACAGAGGGCCTTCTGGCACGCACAGATCGCTGCATTGTAGAAGAGATGACGTTGGGCTCCAGCTTCACCTCCCACATCTCACTCAGCAACGCCAGCGCAGGCTGCCACTGCTCGCCCTTCTCGCACGCGCTCCCAACGCTGTAGCTGATGACGTTGGGCTCCTCCTGCGCCTCCGCTGCCTTGCTCAGCAGCACCAGGGCCCACTGCCACTGCTCGCCCCTCTCGCACGCGCTGATCCCAGCGTTGTAGGTTAGACTAGGGCTGACCCGCGGCCTTCCGGCCGCGGAGTCTGCCCGCCATGATGTGGACGTGGAAATGGAGCGTCTCTGGGGACTCGCGGGGGGGGGGGACGTTGTGGATGGAGGAGGTGGCCGCGGGACCCTGGAGAATGGCCTCCGAGGTTACGGAGTAATTTTCGGTGGCGTCGATGATCCACGAACGATCCGGGTGAGACGCCTGTGCCCCATCCAGAGCCTGGGGGAAACCTTCAGAGTTGGTGCTGGCATTCCGTGGACGTGGCGAGCCGACGAACGTCCTGGGCGAGGGTCAATTGCTCCGCCCCGGGGCGTCGGAAAATAAACCTCCAAGTCTGGGCTTATTTTCCGTGGGTGTGGCCGCGCCTCGGGTCATGCATTGGGAGCGCAGAGGCGGAACAACGCAGAAACGAAACCCACAACTCCAGAGTAAGCGCCAAAGCGCAGGTTGACGAAAGACGTCTCTCCAGAACCCTTTTGCCCACCTGGGACCTCGGAGAATACACCTCGAGCGTGGTATTTATTTTCCGTCGATGTGGCGGGCCGAAGAGTGGTGGTTTGGGGCTTTTTTGCCGACCGCGGGACCATGGAGAATGGCCTCCGAGGTTAAGGAGTATTTTTCGTGGGCGTCGCTGATCCACAAATGATCTGGGCGAGACGTCTGTACCCCATCTGGAGCCTGGGGGGATGACTTCGTCATAGGTGCTGGCATTCCGTGGACGTGGCGAATCGACGCACGTCCTGGGCGAGGGTTGATTGCTCCGCCCCAAAGCGTCGGAAAATAAACCTCGAAGTCGGGGCTTACTTTCCGAGGGTGTGGCCGCGCCCTGGGGCTTCTGATCAGCCTTGTAAGAACCTCTTTGGGCCCTGTTGGGCCGTCTGGCGGCCTCCTGGGAGCCTCTTGAGGCCCTCTTGGGCTGTCTTGGGTGCCCCTTGGGCCGTCTTGGGGCCGTCTGGGCCCGTCTTGGGCGGCTCCGGGGCTGTCCTCGGACCGCCTTGGGGCTCTGTTGGGTCGTCTTTGGCCCCTCTTGGGGCTGTCAAGGGAGCCTCTTGGGCCGTCGTGGACACCTGAGGAGCCGTCCTCGGACCGCCTTAGGCCGTCTTGGGGCCCTCCCGGGGGCCTCCTGGGCCTCTCCTGGCGATCTTGTGAGACAGTATTGTCGTCTTGGGCGCTTTGAAGCCGAAAAGCAAGGGCATTGCCAAAATGAGCGCTTGCCTCACAGATTTTGATGATTATTCCTTGTTCGGGCCCTCTCGGGGTTCTTCTTGGAGCCCACTTGGAGCAATTTGGGCGCCTCTTGGGCCGTCTGGAGGCTGTGTTGGCGTCTTCGAGCGCTCTTGGAGCATCTCGGAGGCCCTCTTGGACCGTCTTGGGGCGTCTTGGGGTCCTCTCGGGGGGTTCTGATAGGGTCTCCGAGCGCTCTTGGGCCTTCCTGGAAGCGCGCCGAGGCCAGCTGGGGCTCGCGGAGGCCCGCAAGGCTCGCAGGGGGCGCCTGAGGAATATGTCCAACCCCCGCCTTTCTCGTACGCGCGGGGCCCTGCAATGTAGTAGAGATGACGTCGGGCTCCAGCTTCGCCTCCCACATCTCGCTCAGCAGCGCCAGCGCCCGCTGCCACTGCTCGCCCTTCTCGCACGCGCTGATCCCAGCGCTGTAGCTGATGAAGTTGGGCTCCAGCTTCACCTTCCACACCTCGCTCAACAGCGTCAGGGCCCGCTGCCACTCCTCGCCCTTCTCGCATGCGCTAATCCCAGCGTTGTAGCTGACTAGGGCAGACCTGTGGACTCCGTCCACGACATCAGCTCGACGTGGCGAGGGGTCTCTGGGCAAGCGCGGGGGGGTGCGGCTGCAGGGCCGAAAGGCAATCATGATGGCGTCGGGCTCCTCCTCCTCCTCCTCCTCCTCCTCCTCCTCCACCTTCTTCTCCTCTTTCGCTGGATTCTCCATGCCCTCGGTCGGCAATCGTCGATCCTACGACGACTCTCCCCAACAGAGAAACATCGAAGGCCCTCGGAGCGTCCAACATTGTTCTTTTGTGCCTTCGATATGCCGGTCGCCTCTCGTCCGCTCCCCCGCTCCTGGAAGGAATTCTGAAGGCACTGAAGGCTTCGTAGGGGCCGTTTCGGAGCCTCTTCGGCCTTCGTTTGGGCCTCGCGGGGGGGCTCTTAGGGCTCTCTCGGGCCGTCTTGGGTGCCTCTTGGGCCGTCTTCGGGCCATCTGAGGCCCTCCTTGGCGCCTCTTCGGCTGTCGTGGGCCGTCTTGGGCCGCTCCTGGGGCCGTCTTGGGTGCCTCTTGGGCCGTCTTGGGCGCCTCCTGGGCCGTCCGGACGCCGTCCTGCGGCGTCTTGGGACCGTCTTGGGGCCCTCCTGGCCCGTCTTGGGGCTCTCTTGGGGTCCTCTTCGGCCGTCTTGGAGCGGTCGGGGGGGCGTCTTGGGCCGTCTTGGAGCGTCGGGAAGGCGACGAGGCGAGGAGGCCGAAAACATTGACAAACACAATAGAAATCGACGATTTCTGTCGCTCGGGGCCCTCTTGGGAGGCCTCTTGGGAGGCCTCTTCGGGCGTCTTGGACGCCTCGAGGGCCTCCTGGGGCGAATCTCGGGCGTCTTGGGCGCTCTTGGGCTGTCTTGGGCCGTCTTGGGCCGCTCCTGGGGCCGTCTTGGGTGCCTCTTGGGCCGTCTTGGGCGCCTCCTGGGCCGTCCTGGGGCCGTCCTGCGGCGTCTTGGGACCGTCTGGGGGCCCTCCTGGCCCGTCTTGGGGCTCTCTTGGTATCCTCTTCGGCCGTCTTGGAGCGGTCGGGGGGGCGTCTTGGGCCGTCTTGGAGCGTCGGAAAGCCGACGAGGCGAGGAGGCCAAAAACATTGAAAAACACAATAGAAATCGACGATTTCTGTCGCTCGGGGCCCTCTTGGGAGGCCTCTTGGGAGGCCTCTTCGGGCGTCTTGGACGCCTCGAGGGCCTCCTGGGGCGAATCTCGGGCGTCTTGGGCGCTCTTGGGCTGTCTTGGGCCGTCTTGGGCCGCTCCTGGGGCCGTCTTGGGTGCCTCTTGGGCCGTCTTGGGCGCCTCCTGGGCCGTCCTGGGGCCGTCCTGCGGCGTCTTGGGACCGTCTGGGGGCCCTCCTGGCCCGTCTTGGGGCTCTCTTGGGGTCCTCTTCGGCCGTCTTGGAGCGGTCGGGGGGACTTCTTGGGCCGTCTTGGAGCGTCGGAAAGCCGAAGAGGCGAGGAGGCCGAAAACACCGAAAAACACAGTAGAAATCGACGCTTTCTGTCGCTCGGGGCCCTCTTGGGAGGCCTCTTGGGAGGCCTCTTCGGGCGTCTTGGACGCCTCGAGGGCCGCCTGGGGCGACTCTCGGACGTCTTGGGCGCATCTTTAAGCGTGCCGGGGCTCTCCGGGGCCGTCTTGGGGGATTTTTGGGACCCTCTGGACGTGTCTTGGGGCCTCCCTGGGCGGCCCGGAGCCAGCCCGGGGCGGTTTTGGTTCATTGGAGCCTGCACCATTCTGGCACGCACTGGGCCCTGCAATGTAGTAGAGACTAGGGCTGGCCCGCGGCCTTCCAGCCGCGGAATCTGCCCGCCATGGTGTGGACGTGGAAATGGAGCGTCTCCAGGGCCTCGCGGGGGGGAGGTTGGAGGGGACGGTGTGGATGGAGGAAGTGGCCGCTGAAGGGGGAGGCGGGCGAGGGATGCAGGCAAGCAGGCCTGAAGGCAGGAACGCATGTAGGCACAACGTGGTGTGGACAGAAGCTGTTTCTCACGCCGCGCTCTGTGTTCATCATAGCTTTTGCGGGGCGGGTCGCCGGTGATAATTTTATCTGCTCTTAGCTGGGGCCGCGTGATCTACGACCCAAGAGGCCCGCAAGAGGGCGCCGAGACGGCCCGCACTGGGGCCGCTCAGGCGCCTGGTGCACGGGAGGATCACCGATAGGACGCTGGAGAAACTGTCAAGTAACTGTCACTTTGGTTTACTTGGGCTGCGCGTTAGGAGCCTTCTCAGGTTGTCTGGACACTCTTGGGGCCTTCTTCGGGGTATGCTCGGGACATCATCTCTGGGGCTCCTAGAATCGGCTTTTGGGCCATTTTGGCCGCCCTCCTCCTCCTCCCCTGGATCGGTCATCTAGTCGATCTTCTTTAAGAGCCATCTCGGTGTGTCTGGACCGTCTTGGGGCCTCCTTAGGGTCATGCTCGGGAAATCTCGGTGGCTTCTATCGGCGTTGGGGGCCATTTTAGGTCTCGTCCTCCATCTCCTCCTCCTCCTCCTCCTCCTCCTCCTCCTCCTCCTCCTCCTCCTCCTCCCCTCGATCCTTCATCCCGTCGATCTTCTCGTCAGTCGTCGACGCTACCCAAGAGACAAGCATTCAAGGCCTCATGGGGTCCGTTTGGAAGCCTCTTTTCGTTCTCCTGGGGGGTTTCTGGGCAAGCCTCTGTGCGATGGTGAAGGGGCGCGGGCGCCCCGTCGGTGTCTCGTATCGCCACGTCGTCGTCCTCCTCGCCTCTCCTGCCCCCCTCACGCCCCCCTCCCCGCGGGACGCCCCCCTCTCCCCGCGCGGAAGACATGGTCGCCTGTCTGGCCGGCGCGGAGGGGGCGAGAGGTGAGGGAGGAGGGGGAGCGAGGAGGGAGGACGGTTTTCCCCAGCTCTGGCAACTGAATGCCTCAACGGGAGTGCCGGGCAGCTGCAGGCCGCTGAGTTGGGCAGATTTGGCCCAGCTCAGCCCTCCCCTTGAGGCCAGGGAAATGACAAGGCAGCCTGGCCGCGCCCCGTTGAGGCAAGAGCGCTCACGGGGGCGACCCCGTGGGCGGGGGTTTCGGGCAGCGCGCGCCGGACTGAATAAAAAGGCTGCAGCGCTCCTCTTCCTTCACCCGGAGATACACGGATCGCATGGTGTCTGGGCTGCACCAACCACCTTGCGCCTGTATCACTTCGTCCGGGACGAGATTATGGTATTTGTACCACTGCGCACCTCCTTTCCGGAGGGAATGTGCGCCCGTGCCCGGATGCGGCAGGACGGCGTGCAGCGCTTTCCTGAAGCTCTCGGCCGACAACTCACGAGGAGCCGCGCAACCGGTAACGGAGAATAACGCTCCGCCTACGGCGGCGGGCCAGAGTTGGGCCCGCAGCCGAAGCCACTCATTCAGCAGGCGGACTGGGCAGATATGGCCCAGGGATGGAATGGCAGGGATGAAACAACGCATCCCCTGACCATTCGGATCATTTTTCTGCCGCCTGATGAGTGCGACGTAATGGTCGGCATTCACATGGACATCTGACACCAGTAGCGCCCGCATTTCGGCACTCCGGCGCATGCCGAAAAATGCGAAGCTGGCTGCAAGCATGTGTTTTGGGATCTGGCCCCCCCGCCGTGGATGGACGACGACGCATTTTCCCTGTCGACGCTGGGGCCTCCAATGTCGACGTGGATCCGCGCGGCACGCTGGTCATGGGAGAAATCGCACCAGGTCGCCGCGCAGACCGCGATCCGGTCGCAGGCGCGGGTGCGCAAACGGATTTGTGGTAGGAAGAGGCGCCGCTTACGATCGGCGCACAGAATATCATTTGCATGGCACGGGAGGCGCTGCGCAGGATACGGACGACTGACAACCATAAAGTATTAATGTTAAGTTAGTGTACATGTGCTCAAAGGCTCTTCCCGTCGTCCGCAGGCGCGGCGGCCCTGCGCAGCTGGCGCGGCAGGGTGTGCGGTTCAATTGCCCGGGCACTCCTGCATCCAGTGGTGCGCGTTTTCAATTGTCCCTCCCTGCGCGCACCTCGGGCACGGTAAAACGCACTTGTTTCCCAGTGCCCTGCACTGAGCGAAGGAGTGGGACACCACTCCTTTCTTAAAGAATAAGCAATTCTTGCAATACTCCCGCGCCAACTGCGAGAGAGCCGGGCGGAGGTCGGCCTGGGCGTACTTCTGGCCCAGCCAGGGCTGCACGAACTGGGGCGATTTGCCCAGTGCGAAGGCGTGCAGCTCCGTTTTGAGCTGCTGCACCACCGGTTTGAGCAGGGCTTTCTTGCCCTCCCCTTGCGGCGGGGCTGTGCCACCCGCGTGCGGGGCCCCGGCGGAAAGAACGCCGCCGGCGCCGGCGCCTGTGAGTCCTCCCGTGTCCGCAGAAGCCGATGGGGACCACCTGTTCGCGCGCTGGCCAAGCGGGGGCCCCGCGCCAGGAAGAGATGCCCGGCCGATTTTCTCGGGGCCGCCCGCCGGCGCAACCGCGGGCCGCTTCAGGCCAGACCCCGCGGGAGAGATGCCCGCGGAATCCGCTGAAAACAACGCCTTTTGGATCATGGTGGCCTGGCCCAAGATCAGGTCGACCCCGAAGTCTTTCAGAAGGACTTGGGTGTCCAGGCCCACAGCCGCTGTGGGTTTAAGCGACCTGTGTTTGAATGCCTTGATCACGTGATAAGCGAAAGGCATCAACTGTACACGCTGGAGCTCGGACTTCGCGGCGCTGGCCGCTGTGCCCGTGAGCAACGACGTATAGCGCTTCTCCACGAGCGAAAACAGCGATATGATGGCACGCACGAGCGCGCGCACCCCGTCCGAATTCTCTGCGGCCTCGGCGCGCTCATTCAGGTGCAACATGAGCTTCTCCCGGGAGCCACTGCGCTCCGGAAGGCACAGGTCCTTCCACTTGCGCCTGCACACGTGTTTCTGATCGACCTTGTTTTTGAGGGCCTCCAACTCGGCGTTGCCCGGGTACGCCGCTGACAGGGCCACGACGTTCGCCATGGGGCCGCCGCTCTCGGAGAGGGACTCGGCCATGGCGC